CGCTCTGCTATAAATAATTCCTGGTCTTTTTTCATATGAAAAAGATAAATAATCTATTGCAAGCACTATATATCCGTTGCAAATTTTTTTTTAAAAATCTAAATAAAATCTCGAGATATTTTAATTTTTATTCCAGGTAGTTTTCGTAAGATATTTCTAAAATGGATGCGTTTCTTAAGGATATTAGAATTGCAATGAAATCGAGAGCAGAGTGGCGCAGTGGAAGCGTGCTGGGCCCATAACCCAGAGGTCCGTGGATCGAAACCACGCTCTGCTATAAACTTTTTAGTTTTTTTTTCATATAAAAAAAGAGAACACTATTGCAAGCACTATATATCCGTTGCAAATTTTTTTTAAAAAATCTAAATAAAAATCTCGAGATATTTTAATTTTTATTCCAGGTAGTTTTCGTAAGATATTTCTAAAAGGATGCGTTTCTAAGGATAATATTAGAATTGCAATGAAACCGAGAGCAGAGTGGCAGTGGAAGTGTGCTGGGCCCATAACCCAGACGTCCAGATCGTCCCACGCTCTGCTATAAACATTTTTAGTTTTTTTGTCATATGAAAAAAGAGAACAATATTGCAAGCACTATAAACTGTTGCACTTTTTAAATAACTCAATAAAAATCGCGAAAGAATCGGCAGATATTTGAATTTCCTTTTATTCCAGGTGGCGCAAGGGAAGCGCGGCTTTCGTAAGATATTTCTAAATTGCAAAAGGTATGCGTTGCAAATAAGGATAATAGAATAATGAACTGCGGAAAAGGAGAAAGCGAGAGTGGCGCAGCGGAAGTGCTGGCCCATAACCCAGAGGTCCGGATCGAAACCATCGCTCCGCTATAAATATTTCCTGCTTTTTTCATATGAAAAAGGATAACACTATTGCAATCACTATATATCTGTTGCAAATTTTTTTAAAAATCTAAATAAAATCCGAGATATTTTAATTTTTATTCCAGGAAGTTTTTCGTAAGATATTTCTAAAAGGGATGCGTTTGCTGATATTAGAATTGTAACGAAATCGAGAGCAGAGTGGCGCAGTCGAAGCGTGCTGGGCCCATAACCCAGAGGTCCGTGGATCGAAACCACGCTAGGGCTATAAACGTTTTAGTTTTTTTTTTCTTATATGAAAAAGAGAACAATATTGCAAGCACTATAAATCCGTTGCAAATTTTAACACTAATAAAACTTCCTCGAGATATTTGAATTTTTATTCCGTGCTTCGCGATATTTCTTAAAGGGCGTTTTAAGAATAATGTGAAATTGCTATAAAAGGAGAGCAGAGTGGCGCAGTGGAAGCGTGTTGGCCCATAACCCAGAGGATCACCCGTGTATCGAAACCTGCTCGGCTATAAATATTTTTGTTTTTTTTTCATAAGAAAAAAAGAGAACACCATTAAACACTATATATCCGTTGCAAAATTTTAAAAATCTCAAATAAAATCTCGAGATATTTAATTTTTATTCCAGTTTCGCAAAGTGCAGATATTCCCAAAAGGACGCGTTTCTTAAGGATACGTCAGGAACTGCATTGAAATCGAGAGCAGAGTGGCGCAGTGGAAGCGTGCTGGGCCCATAACCCAGGGATCGAAAGGCACGCTCTGTATAAATATTATTCTTTTTTTTTTTCATATGAAAAAGAGAACAATATTTCAAGAGCTATAAAACTAGAATTTAAAAATAACCCAACAATATCGCGAGTTATTTCACCTTTCTGAGGCCCGTGTCGCTGAGTCTCCCTTCCGTGAAGCAGACGCGTGCTCTGCCGGCGATATAAAAATTGCAATGAAATCGAAGCAGAGTGGCGCAGTGGGGCGTGCTGGGCCCATAACCCAGAGGTCAGTCCGTGGATCCGAACCCACGCTCTGCTATAAGCATTTTATAGTTTTTTTTTTTCATATGAAAAAAAGGAAGGAACACTATTGCAATGTTGGTGATGAATGTTGTTTATGGCAGCTTATGCGAAGCACTATAAATCGTTGCAAGATTTTAATTTACTCAATAAAATCTCGAGATATTTTTAATTTTTATTCCAGGTAGTTTTTGTAAGATATTTCTAAAAGGACTGCGTTTGTTAAGGATATTAGAATTGCAATGAAATCGAGAGCAGAGTGGCGCAGTGGAAGCGTGCTGGGCCCATAACCCAGAGGACCGTGCATCGAAACCTCACGCTCTGCTATAAATATTTTTGTTTTTCATAAGAAGAACACTGCAACACTATATCCGTTGCGAATTTTTTTTTAAAAAATCTAAATAAAGTCTCGAGATATTTGTTTTTATTCAGGAAGTTTTCGTAAGATATTTCTAAAAGGGATGCGATTCTTAAGGATATTAGAATTGCAATGAAATCGAGAGCAGAGTGGCGCAGTGGAAGCGTGCTGGGCCCATAACTAAGAGGACCGTGCATCAAAACCACGCTCTGCTA